CATTTAAACCAGTTCTTTAAGATGAATCAAAATATACAGCGCAATCAGTGTTTTATGATTCAAACAAAATGAGTCATTTAAACCAGTTCTTTAAGGTGAATCAAAATATTCAGCATAATCCGTGTTGTGTGATTCAAACAAAATGAGTCATTTAAACCAGTTCTTTAAGGTGAATCAAAATATTTAGCATAATCAGTGTTGTATGATTCAAACAAAATGAGTCATTTAAACCAGTTCTTTAAGGTGAATCAAAATATTCAGCGTAATCAGTGTTGTATGATTCAAACAAAATGAGTCATTTAAACCAGTTCTTTAAGGTGAATCAAAATATTCAGCGTAATCAGTGTTGTATGATTCAAACAAAAGGAGTCATTTAAACCAGTTCATTAAGGTGAATCAAAATATTCAGCGTAATCAGTGTTGTATGATTCAAACAAAATGAGTCATTTAAACCAGTTCATTAAGGTGAATCGAAATATACAGTGCAATTAACGAAAATGCCTAATTTAAACACGAGTCACTAAAACCGGTTCTTTTTAATGGATCAAAACACACAGTGTAGTGCGATTCACTCAAAATGAGTCACTTAAACCGATTCTTAATAGTGAATCAAAAACATAGTGCAACCAGTGTTCAATTGACGAAAAAATTACTTTGAGCCGGCCCGTTAAATGAGACGTTCAAAGGTAATCACAAGCTCACATTATTGTAATTATTATAATTAAACACATTGCTATAATAATTGTTTTTACAAGAAATTACTAATATTTTAATTAATATTAAAAGGAAAATCAAAGCATGATTCCCATTGATAATTATGTAAAAATGTATATGTTTTTAATATACAGCAGCATTAAAATGGACAAAAAGTTCAATAAATGGTCAAATGAATTAGTGGCGAATCAAATTCGAATAGAATCAATCTCGTCAAGTTGTTTCCAGAAGGGTCGGAGGTCACTGTGGGAAGGTTGGCAAACGCAAACAGAGTTGCCTGAGGTGAGCTGACAAACGAGTGCACGCAACTGAATACTGAACAGCACTCGCCCCGCGGGGAGAGACATGCTGCGTCACGTCAAACCTCAGCAAATATGAGATGAAAAGTGTGTGACGCCGTCGCTCGGGAGGGCAAGATGGAGATAAAGCAGTTCCAGGCAAATCTTCACAATGGGAGATCCCAGCACAGATGTACAAGAGCACAGCTATTAAGAACAGATTATTAAATCACCACAGATGGAAAAGAAAATGCTGATTGCAGGCAAACGCAACATCACTTTGCCAGCGCCCTGAAAGCTCAAATTCATTTTTCACCAGAGTCAAAAAAATAGCGCTAGAGGCGAAGAACGGGACAAGGTTAAAACCCAGCTTTTCCAAATCCTTTTGCCTCACAGATATATTGCAAACTAAACAAATCTAAAGAAGAAACGTCTGGTCAAACATATACAGGACTGACTTTAATACCATTATAACACTGTTTTGCCAATGTTCATATGTTACGAAAACGTTATTTCTGATCGTTCTTCTGAATAAAAACTTAATATGTTAACTAAAAAATTATCAATGTATAAATGTACATAATAATTTTTTTTTCTTACCTGTAAGAACGTTCAAAACATCCAGTTTTGTTTAAAAAAAAAATTTCTTGGTGACGCAAACGTTACGTAAACATTACATTTTATAATTTTGCTAAAGCTGCACAATTAATGGTTAAAAGATGGTGATCTCGATTCAAACTCTCACGAGATCTTATTCTTAAATGACAACGATTCTCTTGCGTCAATAAAACAATTGACAAAATCACATCGTAACTTTCAGATCCGAATTTGTTGGAACGAATTCCGAAATTCGAATATAATTTGAATATTTACAAACAAAATCAATACTATTCGAATGTTTTTTTAATATGCAATCTTGCCTTTCTCGCCGCTTTGGCTTTCACGCATGTGAAAATGAAATGTATTTGTTTTGTCTGATGAACAATATAGTTTTTGAGTTGTAACGCAATTGTGCGCGTTATCCATGCTGTATCATCATAACAACACTGGCAAAAATAGCAAATGTTTAACAACGTAAAAACCACCCCACAAAGCACCTGTGAAGCGAAAAACGCAAATATCTCAACGGATTCGGCGAACACAAAGCTCGTTGGAAACTACTAGTGGAAAAGAACGATATAAGTTTCTGAATTTTTGTTTTCGCAGAGATATTAGCCGAAAACCATCGGAAGCGCTTCAACCACATTCAGCACAAATAAAATGTTTATTAGATGTCCCTCTAGTGGACAGATCGTGTAACAACAACCACATGCTATAGTGGCGTAAATATGAATAATACTATGAATTTGAGCATTTAGTAATCTAATATTACTCGAATATTAAATAAGGAATGGAATTCGAATAGTATTATAGAGGAAGATTGACAGCCCTAGTACAAGTATGAAATAGCTTCACAAACAGTTTTTTCAACCACGTATTGTTATTTTTGTGTAACAAATATTCATATTAACACAGAAGAACTGGGGTTAAATGTTTTTCGTTCAGATATAAACGCTGATGTCTACGGCAGCGATCAAAATAGAGTAAATCCCCTTTTGAAAGCAACTTGACGCTTCAAAAAATGATTGTATCATTCCATCGCTACACCAGTAGGTGGCGACAAGTTACTGTTAAAACATGTATGTATCATCGAATCATTCAACAGTCTCGTTCAAAAAAACGAATTTATTCAGTAATGAAACAAGTTTCAAGTAATTGTAACCAATTTCTTATTATTTTAATTTCTACAGTCCTCCTGTTGTGAAAATCCAGTTTTTAATGTTGTTTATGTGGTGTTTTTAAGACAAAGCATGTGTAAATTCATAAGTCGACAGCATTGCTGAGTATTTCCTCCTTAAAACTGCGAGCCCGTTCTCATCCCAAAGCGCCATATAAGACGCTTTTGCAAAAGCGTAAATATCCAACGCACATGGCACCCTTTAACGTCTAATGAGACGCTTCGGTTAATGGTTAAGTTTAGGTATGGTGTAGGGTAAGGGTTAGACCACTAGGGGGCGCCTTCTGCCCAAATATATCTGCGTCTCATTTCACGTTAAAGGGTGCCATGTGCGTTGGATATTTACGCTTTTGCAAAAGCGTCCTATATGGCGCTTTGGGATGAGAATGCGTTGAAACTGCTGTGAACCAAAGACAGTTTCAAAACACGGTTTGAAAATCGCTGGTGTTTCTGACGTCACAAACGACCTTGTGACCAATCAGATCAACGTGTTCTAAATTTTCAAAGCTCTAACATTATGGGATTGATGCTATTGAATATTTTCTGGACAGAGTAGCATTTGAAAAATGAAATATCCAAATAAAAAGTTGCAAAAAAGATAAATGAACGTATAAATATTGTAACGTTTTGAGAACATTATTATAGACCAGATAACTTTAAATAAATATTCTTTTAACATTACAGGAAGAACGTTTTGTTAACTGGGTAGTTTGCTCCCTAATCTAGACTTCTAATAATCTGCCATTGGAAGATTAGCCGTTTGTTCCTCTTTTGTACACTGCTTTGGATAAAAAGCATCCGCTAAATGCATAAATGTAAATTATAACCTAAACAAACTAAAATAATCAATCCCAGTCCTGTGTGGATTATCAAACGCTTTCGAAGTAGGTGGTGATAAATGTCTTCATCTGAACTCTGCAAACCACTGCCAGCTGTAATACGCAAATGGAAATAAGTGCATTAACTAATGAAAAAGTATTCAAATGTGATTAAATTCACATCGCTCGTCTGATCAGGCCTAAAGATGTGCATTATCATACGGCTACGCCCCATCCGTCACATCAAGCTAATTTTCGAGTGTAATTGCCTGACGCTTTAATTAATTTTGACTGAAGCGTGTACTATTTTTGCACCGAAAATCTCATGAATTGTTTCTGCCGTGTACTTGCTGACTAAGATTAATAACGCTGAACTTTACAGCAAAGCTTTATGGACATGGGAGACAGACCTGCAGATCAGCAGCAAAAGTTTCCCAATGAGAAAAATGATCCCAGATCAGAGTGAATTATCTGTGCCATAATATCTCCATTATATCAACTAGGCTTATGTTTTATAGTCCTATTTCATTAAAAGCAGATTAGTGCATTATTTTAGAAGACTTGGCTTTAAGCCATATTCATCAATTGAATTCTTCAGGGGTTTTTTATATAGAGCTAGGCTAAACTTTATAACATACTGATTAAATTTCAAGATTTCTAATATATAAATCATAATGTGTATGGTGAGAGAAAAGATGTACATTTTTGATGGCACGTAGAAATGTGCCATCAAATGTGCCTTTAAATATTGACATACCTGAAATGAGATATTGCCTTGATTTAATTGTATTAAAAAATGACATTTGTATTAAAGCAATATGATCATGGATATTATCAACTGAACGAAAAAGGTGCTATATTTATAGCATGGTACTGTGGTAAAAATACTGTGGTAAACGTGACAAGTGTATGTCCAGAAGAGTATGGTGGTCATAATAATGATACCTAGAATATATGGGATGGTAACATGTTATACCATGGAACCAATTTCATACCATGGTACTGAACGGTTTTCATGTGCAACAAAAAAAACTAAGTACAAAAACACACTTAAAGTACTATAGATACTTCAAAGATATAATGGTAGCCTACTACTATAGTAAATGTCCAACAAACATGATACTTTTTTACTACTTTTCTGTCAAAACGAGGCTATATCGATCAAGCTTAGACAAATACATCCTGTATAATATCGATTGCCTTAAGTTTAAATGGAAATTTTAGACTCGATATGACTGAATAAATTAAAGTTTCTCATATTTCTTCTAAGATATTTAGTTCGTATTCTGCATAAAATAAATGATATTTCATCTTTACTCGCATATATGCAGTTCAAAACGCTTTACACATCTAAATCCCCCTCAGATATTTATGATTACAGATTAAAATGACATATAAAATGTAAAAACTCACCTGTATTCTGTTCCATCTAATCTGTGGGAAGAATCGCCTCATCTGCGTCTGGCGCGAAAACTGCGCGTGCACGCTGCCGCTCCAACAGACAGCGCGCGTGCAGGCGCGCGACCTGCTCTTAAAGAACCCGCACGTACCACAGAAACCAATCACAGAGGGATTTCTTTCATTATTATTTATTTACAGAGATTGTCTTGTATCTTGCAGGTTGAATGTGTTACTATTTTATAAACACCCAATCATTAATAAATCATAAACAAATAGAAAAAATAACAAGGATAATTATATTTTTTGTTTTTAAAATATATTAATAAAATAATCTGATTATTTTAAAATATTTTTTTATTATTTAGATTAATAAAATAATAGGAATGAATAAATAACTATATATTATTTTTATAGGCCTATATTAATAAAAATTATTAATTTAACATAAATACGACATATTTCACATAGAGAGATATAGCAGCTTATATATAGAAATGCAATAGGCTATTTGAAATATTTAATACTTTTTATATTTTGTTTTTCTGGCATTGTGACAGTTTTAAACACAAAAAATAATGGGTTTTTTTTTCAACATCAAAACTAAAAATCTATTAAGTAAACCTGAATTTATTTAAAGAGTCACCAGCATCAGGGGTTCATGTGAAGTGTCATAAAAAATTATGTTTTGACTGCTCAGAAATAACAACATAACATGTCCCTCTGTGAGCAGTGTGGCCCCCCATCTGTTCATGACAGCATCGCCATCTGTTGCCAACAATAAACCACATCCGCCCAATTACATAACATGGATCTTCCCTAAATTACTCAATTTAAACAAATATGATGCAAACAAAACATAATATATCGAACAAACTGGTTAGAAAAAAAGCATGTGAATTTGTAGCATTAATATTAGGGCTGTGAAAGCATCAAACGCATCCAAGATAAAAGTTTGTTTTTGTGTGTGTACTTGTACTTTGTATAATTATTTTGTATACAAACATGCATTTAAGAAAAATGTGCTATTTATATATAAAATATTTATATATAATATATATAAATTACATATAAATACATTACAGTATTTACATGCAAATATTTCTTAAATATATACAAGCATGTGTGTGTATGTTTATATAAAATAATTATACACAGTACACACACTTTTTAGTTATATTATTCATATATACACAGGCCCCTCCCCCTTCACGAGTGGACACGCCTCTTACTGCTGATTGGCTAAAAGTGTGTTTTGGTGCTGGGTACAATCCAGTTTCTCAAAAATCGCTCAGTGCACCTTTAAAAAATCTATTTTTTCTGGAGATATTCCATGGATATTAAAGGTTCTTCATGCGATGCCAATAACGAACCATTATTTTTAAGAGAGTATGTTGAATTTCCCTCAGGTTTCCACTTTCCAGTCTATTTATTGGGCCTAACCTTTCTATAGGTCTTAACCTTCCAGAACAGAGCGAATCCTCCAAGCGAAGGTGGCGACTCGGCCATCTGTGCTACAACACTCTCTGCCAGCTCTGACTTGTGCCAGTCTATAGTGAGGTGTATTGGCAAGCTCGCGACTAATTTCCCTCAAATCACCTCAGTTTGTCTTAATGTCTTTAATTTTTCTCTAATACCGTAAAAACACAAATTACTCGAGCGCTAATTAACAGTTTCTCATATATCTTCCAAACCTGTCTTGTGAGTTGATTTACTGTGTGTGTGTGTTTTTTTTCTGAGGAGAGATCTGAATGTTCTTCATTGAAAGTTGCTGACAAGCCAGCTCGGAATTGATTCATTATGCATATGATATTAAAATTTAATTGGGTCAAAGTCCAACCAAAAAACTTTTCAGACATGTAGGCTACCAAGACAATTCCATGGTGTTTTTAACATATACCCAAATCATACTAAAACACACTTGAAATAATATAATAGTGCACTATTTGAGTCGACAGCCATTTGTAGTGGTAAACCATCAAGTGATTTAATCCCATAATGCCCCTCAATAACGGTTTGAATGCACTGTGAGCAAAATATCTGAAATTATTCTGTAAGAGTTAGGCCTATGTGTTGTTGTTTAGGGTAACTCCAAGTTATACGAATTTAATTTTCTTTTTCATAAATTGTATTCACTTAGGCATCATAAATTAAGATATTTTTAATGAAATCTGAGATAGCTACTCTCCATTGACAGTTGCGCAACTACCACTTTCAACTTCAAGCCATTTAAAAGTAATAAAAACATGTGACTCAAGTGGTTTAACCTCAGTGAGAGGAGTTCTTTGTTTGAACAAAAAAATATAAATACCACTTTACTAAATATCAATCGCCACCACGTGTTTCCGCAACATCGCGTCACGGGTTTGGAGCGACAATGCGGATACGACATCATTTTTATTTTTGCGTGAACTATCCCTTTAAAATTATGCCTCGTTAGGTTTCTAAACAGAGTGTGTGTGACGGCCCGTCCCTCGGAGGCAGGCAACACAGCAGCTTGTTGCTCGTTAAAACGAGAAAACGGAGTGTCGGGTCGGGTGAAAGCAGGAGGGCCGGTCGAATCAATAATATCCATAATGAGATCCGAGATCCGTGGGGCGTCATTACCGTGCGGGCTCCTTCTTCCGCGACGAGCGATAAACACACCGCATTAACCTTTACAGGTCTCTCCTCATCCTCAAGATATGTAGCCTACAGTATGGGTTTATTTCTTGGAAAGAAAAGTCATATCTCAGACTGTTGTTTCTAGGCTACAGTTAGATCACACAAGTCTAAAATCAAAAGTCAGTCCGTAACTAAGACTGTCAGCCATATCGTGATGAGGGCTTGACCAGAACATGTTGACAGGAGAAGGGAAGTCTCTCGACGGGTCACTTCTGAGCAGTGTTGAACAATAAGCAGCTCAATCACCTCTTTTTGTTCTTTGTCATTTTATTGTACGCCTACTTAGACATTTGACAGCCTCGCCCTTTGAAAAACAGAAGCTTTTAAGTTTGAAGAGGTCAGCTAACAAAAATATCATCTTAGAATGTTTGGCTAACCTTTAGGTTATGAACACATTATTTGTGAACATTAAAAACATCCAGTTTTTTTTTTTTTTTTTTTCTTAAGTAGGATCTTGGTTTAGCCCATGTGAATAGATGAACATTCATATTATCTTGAAAATGTTATGAAAAAGTTTTTTTTTTCAGTACAGGCCTATTCAAAATTCCAGTTTCTTAAATGTTCTTACATCTTGGTTGTGCAAAAATTTGTCAAATTTGACTTTGACAAAAAAAAAAACAAGGACGTTTCATTAAAACGTTTAGGCAAACATTTAGCAAATATTAATAAAATTGTAAGGATGTTCCAAGAAGAACGTTTTCTTTAAACATTACGAGAACATTCATCTAGCCTACAAATTAATTTAAGGTTCATCCAGCCAGTTCTCCAAATAAACTGATCTGATGATCACCTTGCCTGGGTTTATCCAACAACCAGCTGGGATGTACATGATCCCTTTGCAACTTGAACCGTCTATAAACATTATTTAAGAATGTTTTGTCCTAAAATTTACATAACTTTTAAATAACATTAGTGAAAGTTAACTTAGAAAATTATCATGGTTTTACTATACTGATTAACTGTGATTTTGTAGTAAAAACCATAGAAATGACTAGCATAACTCGTCGAATGACCATCATTCCTCTGCTTTATGGCACGAATGTCATTTCTCGTGGCATTTATACGCCAAAAACAGTTTTTGCGTGTATATGGCACGCGATTTTCGCGTACATATGATACGCACTTTTTTGCGTATAATACGCACGAACTCCCCACCCCCCTCCCCCCTAAACCTAACCCAGGGTTTTTTAGTGCGTACCATATACACGAAAAAAAAAACACTTTTGGCGTATAAATGCCACGAGAAATGACACTCGTGGTATAGATATGCATCTTCATGAGACTGTGTTTGTATTTTTGTGTCCATGGCATATGTTAAGACATTGGCCTAATAGTAGTGAGAGTTTGTTGCCTAACTGGAAATACAACCAACCAAGATGTTGAAGAGAAAACCCAATCTTTATTTTTGCAAATTCGCTCAGGACATCTACATCAAAACACTTCCACAACTGATTGTGGTGTCTTTGAGCTGTATGAAACTGAGTATCAGCTCTGAGCTCGCTGAATTGAGTTGGACTAATGGTCACTCATTTCCCCGTTTCCAGAAGGCCAGCAGGTATCGATCAATATCAGAGACATCCATCAATCCCAATATTCCAATGTGAATGGTTTTATTATGAGCGAAACAGCCAGGCGATAAACACATTATGTCTCTCAATAACCTTGGGAATTGAGTTTTGGAGGATTTATGCGTTGAGACTGGCTCCATCGAATATGCATAGCCTAATATTATAAATATTGCATGAATGCTTAATGGACACAAACAGTCGATCCGCACCTGAATTAACAATATGCTTGGTAGCCTACGAAGTTTGTAATATGTAAATGTTTAATTAGGTTGCTTGCATTACGCAAAAGTTGAACCCATCTATCTTTCAATTTTTGGGTTCCTCGACATCAAACACATTTGCGCCGCCGCCACGACTTGATTTAAAAGCATTAAGGCGTTTTCCCAGTACAGTGAATTAATTAAATGACATTTTCTTCATTATTACCGCCACTCTCTGAGCGCTATAAATAATGAACGAACGATGTCGCTCACGCCGCGAACTCACCTATGGATTTTATTGATTGATTCTATTCAATTACGCTTTTGTCCATGATGAGAGTGACGTGGGCACGGGATCCCTTGGGTTTAAGGGACACGTTAGGATCTCCCGAACAGTTCAGAGCGATTTTAAAATTGCAGCTGATCTTTAATTAGCAGAAATAACCTGGGAGGCTAAAATTAGAGAGGGTTATAAATAAAAAGAGAGGGCGGATTTTAATATTTTTGTCTGGGTTTTAAATTTCCTC